AAAAAAAACAAATACACATATGTGTTTCTTAACGGGGTGGTATAATGCATAATATTCAGGGCCTTGCTTTTGTTTGCTTAAAAGAGCTTGCACTTCTTCTCATAAACAGATTCCCCAAACCAAATCAGAGCTTCTTGAACTCAGGAGCTCACGAGAGACCTGAGCCCGGTTGCGAGAGCACCTATGGAAAGGGTGGATGCGGCTGGCTGCCCAAGCTGGGCACGGCTGTCCAACTGTCTTAGATGCTAGAGACGTCCCTTGGGTTGATGGAGACACAGCCCCACACACCAGCTTAGAACAAAAGAGCAAGATAGATTTCCTTCAAAGATGGAACCAGCCCTAACAAGGACTGATAAGTTATGTCTCAGAGAAACCAACGGGACCGACGGGAACAGGCCAGGGATGGGAGCACAGCTTCCAAGGACCAAAGCGGGAGAAAACACTGCAAGAGAAAAGGAACACGTCGATCAAGGTTCTGGATTGCTTGTCACAGAAACCTACTGTGGGAGATATGAGCAGAAAATGAGTTTAATTGATATTTCTGGAAACTCTGAGGAAAACTAGAGTATTGGAAACTTAATAAGAATGAGGAAAGCTAAGGGAGAAACATGGCCAAGAGGACTCCCCAAAATGAGACCCCTGGGGACAAGCCTGCTGCCACCACTGAGCTGGGCCAGCCCGGCACGCCTGGCAGCGACCGCCCACACCGGCCCCAGACTGAGGCTCCGGCCCAGCTGCAAAGGGGTGGCTACTGCCCTGCTTGTTCCAGAAAGGATTCTCCACCCTCCTTTTTTCTGCATTCTGGCCTTATTCTGAGTCTGGAGTTTTGACATCTGATTGCTGAGCGTAGCCCCATGCCACCCCCCAGAGGAAGGGGGGGCTGGGTGGCAAGAGGCTCAGCATCTCTCATGGAAGGCAGACTCTAGGGCCCGCCAAGACTGGGAGGTGAGAAATTCCTCAAACAAAGCAAGGGGGATTCAGAGTCTGGGCAGCCAAAAGCCATGGCATCACTGGCAGATCTCTGCCAGGTCAGGGACCCAGGAGCCTGGAGACCAGGTGAGAAGTCTTGGTGCAGGAGAGAGAAGGCATTCGTCATTCCTCACTCCTCACCCAGTGTGGACCAGGGCCCTGACAGGACCCTCCGAGACCTGCAGGCAGGCCCAGGGGTGGGGGTAACTATCTAGGACCCATACTATCGACCACGCTCCAGGAGATGCTAAGGCCTCCAGGGGTCCCAGAGGCAACTCTCAACCAGTGGCCCTCAGGTGAGGTCTGGGACTATCTCTGAAGTTTCCAGATCTGCTCAGAAATCTGTCCACCCTCTGGCCCCACTTCCTTTAGTGCCTTGTTTAGTTGGTCCTTCCCCAAAGCCAGCCAGTAAACGTCCAAGTGCCTGGTGGGTTGTCAAGGCGTCTTCACAGGTAGGTTCCTGCCCTGCAAGGGGGCCGGCTGCGCGGGGGGGGCCGGGTGCGTGGGGGGCGGCAGCAGCCTTACTGACCCAGGGCGTGAGAACGAGAGCAGCTGGGGCCGGGAGGACACCGGGGTCTGCCTTCGACCAGCTCCGGTGGCCTCATGTTGTGGCGTGTGTGACCTGGCACAGAGGGGAGGAGGAGTGAGCAGGGAGAGGAAATCACTTTTCTTGGGTTTCTGTGCTGCAGCAGCAACCCCAGCCACGTGTGAACAGTTGTTGCTCCTGGACTCTGCTCGATGTTGTGCTGAGTGTTTGGCATGCACTGTTCCACCAAGCACCACAAAACTCATCCCCATTTTCCAAAAGAGGTCAAATGATCTGCCCCAAATCACTCAGGAGTGAGCGGAAAAGCCAGGATCTGAATTTAGGTTCACCTAATTTCGAAGCATAATCCTTCCCCACAGGCAGGTGCTCAGGTTGACACCAGGACCAGAGTGGGCCAGGCCTATGGGCCCCCGTCCTGGGGGCACCTTGTGATGGAGGCATGGAGGGATAGAGGGATGGAGGCCCCAGAACCTACTCCCAGGCACGTTCTGGGTGTCTTTGAGGAAAACCCTAAAAAGGCGGCGCCCCACTCTGGGAAGGAAAGGGATGCTCAGCTGGACTTGCAGACTTGGGGTCAGAGGTAACAGCCAGGATGTCGTCATTTGAGACAAAGCTTGAACTGGCCCTTCTCTGGGACTCCCTCCTTGAGGGGGGCTCTGAGGCTCTGAGGGTCCCTGTCTCTAGGCTGCTTTCCTGAACTCTGGAGACCGTGGGTCGAGCAGTCAAGACATTTCTGAAATAAGCATGAATCAATCCTCTAATGGGAGTGGGATGGCGTGGAATAAACCAACATTCACATAAATAAGTCAATTTAAAGGCCCAGAAGAGCTTATGGAAGGAGGGACAGTCTCCTGCACTGTGCCGTGAGCTCTTCACAGCCAGGGACCCTGTCAAGCTTACCTCCGTGGCCCCCTCAGAGTGAAGCACAGTGTCAGACCCATGCTCCACAGAAGCTCTTTTGCTCACTGTCCTGCTGCCTAGAATAGTGGCGTCCACACTGAGGGCATTCGATAAGCAGCTGTTGGCTAAGTGAATAGAAGCGGGCTGCGTATTTCGTCTTTGGGTAATGTGTGACATCTTTTTCCACCTCCTCTTAGAGCACCCCCCCACCCCTCTCAGCATACCCTGCCCTCGCCCCTCTGGCAATCTCGTCTCCCCAGCCCTGGTGTCCCTCCAAGCCTCCCCTGCAGGCCCCTGCTAAGCTTTGCCAGTGGTTTTGTCCCACCTCAGGCGTACCAACAGTGAGAAGTCACATTGCAACCAGACTGGACTAGTTTCTTAGCAGCTTTATTAAGTAGTGAGAGGTAGTGTCATTTTCCACTGGACATGTGTCCTCAAGCGTGTACCAGAACTGCCTTGGGACAGACAGACAGACAGGTGGCCAGGCAGGGCAGGTGTCCATGGGAGGGCGTGAGCACCAGGGACAGCTCAGCTCTCTAAAGGGACTGGGGTCAGCTGCGGTTCGGGGACGGCCACAAGCATGTCCTGGTTCTCTTTCTCCTCGAGGGTGCTGAAAAAAGAGTTGACCTTGTCCCTCAGATCCTTCTCCAGGAAGCTCAGGTGGTCTTCCACATCCCCTGCATAGGGGCCCAGCTTCTGCCTCAGTTCCTCCACCTGCTGCAGCAGAGCTTTGTTGAAGGTCTCGCCGTAGGGCCCCACGTTGCGCCGGAACTCCTCCACCTGCCGGTCCAGGTGGCTGCTCAGCTCGGCCAGCGACTTCTGCAGCTCCTCGGTGTTGTCCCTCAGCTTGCCACGCACGACCTCGGCCACGGGCACCAGCTTCTGCCGCAGCTCATCGGCGTTGGCCGAGATCTTGGCCTTCAGCTCCTCGGCGTTCTTCTTCATCTGGAAGGCCAGCCCCTCGAGCTGGTGGTTGAGCTTCTCCTGGACGTCCTGCGCATAGGGAGCCAGGCTGCGGCGCAGGTCCTCCACGTTCTGGTCGATCTTGACCTTGAGCTCATCGGCATAGGGCGTGAGGTGCCCCTTGAGCTCTTCAACGTTCTGGTCGATCTTGGCCTTCAACTCATCGGCGTAGGGTGTCAGGGAGGCCTGCAGGTTGTCCACGTTCTGGCGCAGCGTGGTCTCCATGCGCTGCGCATGGGCCGTCAGCTGGTTCCGCAGACGCTCGGCGTGAGTGTTGACCTGGGTGCGCAGCTCCTCTGCGTAGGGCCCGAGGCGCTGCTGCAGCTCGTGCATGTTGTCCCCGATCTTCCGGCTCACCTCGTCGGCGTGGGGCAGCAGCCGGGCCCGCAGCTCCTCCAGCTCCTTCCGAATCTCCTCCTTCAGCTTCTCAGAGTCTTTGCGCAGGCGTTCGTGCAGCTCCGTGGCAAAGGGCACCAGCTTCTTCTGCAGGTTATCGGTGTAGGTGTTCACTTGCCCAATCTTGTCCTGGAAGAGGGCACTGCAGGGGAAGGACACAAGGGGGCCACCGTTACACTTGGCATTACGTGCCCGGACCTCGTCTCCTTATACACCCCTCATCGCACACACACCTGCCTGAGACAGGTGAGTGAGTGTTCAGGGGTACTGGGTTCACAGGTAGATCATGGTTTGAGAGAGTGGATGTAATAGACTAAGTTATTACCTTGTATCTCTGACTCTCCCCCTGACCTTGAGTCACAGGACCCACCTCTAATAGTTTGCTTCCCACCCCCACCCCCCTCCCCCTGCCTGTACAGTAAAAAGGGCAGACTTTGAAGTCCTTCCCAGCTCAGGTGTGCTGGGACCCAGATCACATTCATTAATAGAATGTTATGCTCTGGACCTCTTCCAGTCTTTTAGGGATTTGAAATGCTAGTTTCCTTGCACATGCCCACCCTCAGAGGCTTCCCAAATATCCCCACTTCCTTTCCCATGACTTCACAGGGGCCCCTCCTTCTGGAATGTGTTAGGACGCAGTTCCCATGACATTTCCCTCCCTCCCTTTCTCCCATGACTCTCAATGCTAGGATGTGGCCATCTGTCACACTCTAGAAAGTTCAAGCAGGAAGATTCCTTAGGGATTATCAGTCCAGCCCCCTGTTTAGATATGTGGATCCCAGATCTGGAGACCTCAGGGTCACTGGGAAAGTTAGTGGCAGGGCAGTGGGTATCCTAAGCTCAGGTCCCCGGCCTCTGAGCTCAGCCCTTGCCAACACATTGCATGGCCTTTAAGAAGCTCCGCCCCACAAGTCGTGCCCCTCTTACTTGAGCTGCTGGGTGAGCTCAGACTTCTGGAGATGTTCCACGGCTTCCTTGGCATTGTTGCTCAGCTGACTAAAGTAGTCCCACACCACCGTGGCCACCTGGTTGGCACTGACCTCAGCCTGGGCACCTAGGCAGGAAGCAGAGAGTGATTCATGAGGACCTATCTCCTTCCTTGCCCCTCTGCACCAGCCCTGAGCTGCAGACTGGCTGATGGTGGGGGAGCCCAACTGCTGATCTCCCCCTCTGTGCTTCCCTCGTTATAAAGCCACAGGGGCATGTAAAACTGGGATAGCGCCAATGCCAGTGGGCAGAACGTTGGGAAGAGGCCAGCCCTCCTATGAACCGCATGGCAGGTGGGCAGCCTTCTGCGTCCAGCTGGGGGATGACAGGCACTTGGAACTGTCCTCTTGCCTGGGCTCCAGACTCTCCACCCTGCCCACTTGATGCAGCAGATGGCTCCTGCCCGAGAGCCCCATCCAAAGGCAACTCCTACTCACCAGTGACAGCCACCAGGGACAGGGTCAAGACCACAGCCTTCAGGAACATCCTGGGCTTCTCGCTGGGCTGGAAGAGCCTCGTGCTGCACTGGATCCTTCCTGGAGTCAAGGGGGCCAGAAGAGAGGCTCTCAGGCAGCTCACCAGTGCTGTTGTCCGAACTGACTGAACCTCAGAGCCAGCCAGACATTTAAACCCCCACCAGGCTGCCCTCCCCACCTCCCTCCCCAGTGTGACTCCACGCTGGAAGGTGACACATGCCCAGGAGGCCTCTTGGACTTTTGTGACCCAAGACAACGTGGCAGCTGACAGCTGACCAGGGCTCGGGCAGCATTCAGAAGACACTGTTCTGTATTTGTGCCCCACCCAGTATGGAAGGGAGGGTGGGGAGCCATGAGCTGTGGGAGAAAGGAGGCCTTGGGAACCCCTGAGCCAGGGACTAATGCCCCAGAGGCCCTGCTGGCAATTCTGGGTCTGAGCCAGGTCTGGGGGGCAAAGTTCACACCTCCTCTGTCTGCGTCAGGGAAGAGAGCCCTGCCCCACGACATCCCCCACTCTGACTCCATCCATCTCAGAGCACAAGACACTGGGCTGGGACACCCAGGGCCACAGCTGCGGACAGCAAGCTCTGGTCCAGGTGTGCCCAGGAGGAGGGGGCTCTTGCAAGCCTTTGGGCAGTTTGGTGGAGTGGGCAAGGGCCCTGTATTGAACGGGTTCATTGTAAGTGTGCTTCCTGTCCCACCACGGCCTAGCTGGGTCACGGGCCTCGTGATTCAGCTTGGCCTAGCTCTGAGCCTCAGTTTCTCCTCTGAAACATGGGGCTGCTCATAGTGTGAGTAGTATAATGCCTGACGCAGAGTTAGCACTACAGATAGTTGTTGTTATTAATAATGGTATTGCTTTCCTGGTTTGGACCATGGCAGGAGGCCCAGTAGAATGCTCACCCCAGGGGGCCCCGTGCAGGGAGAACGGCTGGCCTGAGGCCTGATTCCCACCCCCAGCCCAGCCACACTCCCTGGGCAGGAGCAGCCAGCCTATGCTGAATCGCAGGACCTGAGCCTCTTAGGGGACGAGGGTGGGGGGCAGGAGGTCTTCTATAGGACGTCTAATGTTCTCTACAACTGAGGTCGTACACACAATTACAGAAAGCCACCCACCAAGAAGACAACGCAGCCTGGTCAGCGTGGGTAGCTCTGCTGGACCACGTCCCCTGCACTGACCACCAGATGCATCCCACCGACGGCACTGTCGGCCCCCCCACACCGCGAGAGCACAGTGCCCGGCACGAAGCTGGGCTCCCGTAGACCACAGTTGTGTTGACCCTGACTTATCAGGCCTCCCTGGTTCATATTGCAGCAGTGGCTTGATGTCTCATGGGATCGAAGACAGCTAGAAGGCCTTCTGCTGCCCGCACCCCCCACGGTCGCTTCCAGTGCCAGGGAGCTCCCCCCTCCCCGGAGCGGCTCTTCCCTCCTCCCAGCAGCTGTGAGGGGCTCAGATCCTGGAGTCGGGCTCCCTGGGTTTGCGGCTGGGCTCCCCACTCACCGTCCCCGTGGGGACAGGGCAGATCTCCTAATCTCTCCGAGCCTCAGCCGCCCCCGCTGGGCAGGGACGAGCACCTGCCCGCTGGGCTTCGAGGATTCGGAGTGACAACCGGTGTCGTGCTGGGAACGATGCCCGGCGCACAGTAGGTGCTCATCCAGCACGAGCCAGGCTTCACCCCTGAAAGCCTTCCCTCCCTGCAACACTGGCCTATCGCTCGTGCTCCTGCTCCCACGTCAGGCACAGTCCGGCCCGGGGTGGGCACAAAGGTCAGTGCTCGGTGCCCCCATCCCTTCCCTTGGGGCCGGAGATGAAAAGAGCAATGAGTCACCGAGGACACCGCAGCTGCAACTGGAGTCCGAGCAGCCAGTGCAACCAGCATGTGACAGGCTCCGTCTCGCCCGCCCGGGGGGACACGCAGCAGGAGTGTCTGCACCCATCCGCGCATGCCCGAGAGCATCCGCCGGACATGCACAGAGTCGCCTAAGTGACTTCCGCTGTCTGCAGGCACAAAGCTGGGGCCTGCCGCCCGGGGACCCGTGCAGACTGGCGCAGAGCTGTGCAGCCGATGGAGCAGCCACAGCCTTGAGGGGGGCGTGCTGCGTCCTGGCGTGTGGTCCGGGGGTGCCATCGATGAATGCATTTCTCTCCCGACGTCGGTGGGCATCTTTGGTATCAGGCTGTGAATGGATTTGTGCTGGGAGCAGGGGAGAATGAGCGCCCAGGCTCAGAGTGTTCGAGCTGCTGATGGAAGTAGGAGACTCTGCCCCCAGCTGGGCCTCTGGGTCTCTTTGGGCTCAGATGCTGGCATTTCCAGGTCCTCCGGCGGGCAGGGCCGAATCGGGGCTCCCAGTTCAGCCTACTGGCAGGGGCTTGGGTCACAGAGCCTCGGGTGCTAAGCCTCACCCAGACACGAGTAAGCTCAGAGAGTCTGCCCAACCACAGAGGACCATTTTTGGCCCCCGCTAGTCAAGCCTCCTCCCCCCACCCCTCCCCACCCACTGCGGCGGCTGCTTACTCCTTAGAGCCAGTCTTGGGCCAGGCCCAGAGCAGTCTCCTCATTCCAGGGGAGCCAGCTTGGGAGGGAGGGAGAGAATACGGAGGGCCAGGCAGCTTAGACTGGCCACTGAGAGGGCCCCTACGGAGATAGCCCCTACTGAGACCGCCCAGGGGGGTCCAGGCACTCAAGTGCCCTGAGCACTTTGAAAGAGAAAATGGGGAGCGTCTGGGTGGCTCAGTCGTGAAGCGTCTGCCTTCGGCTCAGGTCATGATCCAGGATCCTGGGATCGAGCCCCGCCTCGGGCTCCCTGCTCCGCGGGAAGCCTGCTTCTCCCTCTCCCACTCCCCCTGCTTGTGCTCTCTCTCTTTCTCTGGCAAATAAATAAAATCTTAAAAAAAAAAATATTCTAAGACATAAGCATCAGTATTTGTCAAATCTTGGTAAGGGGTGCCTGGGTATTAGTCATACTATCCCATGTACTTTTATGTATGCTTGAAACAGTCCATTAGAAGATTTTAAAAAGAAGAAGCAAGAGGTCCTCTGGGGTTTTGTATGTGAGAGGCTCCCATGAGCCCCACAGAAGCGAGGCAGTGGGCCGGCGGATGCAGAAGCCGGGCCATGGAGGGACGCCTGGGTGGCTCAGTCGGTTAAGCGCCTGCCTTCAGCTCAGGTCATGATCCCAGGGTCCTGGGATCGAGCCCTGCATCGGGCTCCCTGCTCGGCGGGGAGCCTGCTTCTCCCTCTCCCTCTGCCGCTCCCCCTGCTTGTGCTCGCGCTCTCTCTCTCTGGCAAATAAATAAATAAAATCTTAAAAAAAGAAAACCTGGGCTGTGGAGCCCTGAGCAGAAGTGAAGAAAGGAAGGGGCCTGAGTGGCCCTGGGGTAGCTGCTTTGGGGAACGGGAGAGAGAATTGAGCGGGAACTCCCAGAAGGCTGACCGGACTCTAGCCACGGGCCCACCGAAAGCTGGAGGCCTTGAATTCACAGCAGCATAAATCAGAGCAGGATTTTCTCTAACTGGGCTCCACAAGGTGAACTAAAAAAGCAGAAGTCTGCTTTATTCTGAATGAGGTTTTACCAGAGGAACGAAAAAGACAAGAGGGTCCGGGGGCCCAGGGAATGTCAGGAGACTTGAGGCACTGGGCAGGATGGAGGGTGAGGCCGGAGCCCAAGAGGGGGCGAGGGAAGCAGCGAGAAAACAGAGCCCCATGCGCACAGTGCCCGGCCCTGGGGAATGTTTGAGAGAAATGTGCCAGAGGCAGAATTGCTCCAGGTTCCCCAGCGCACACGTGTCTGGTCACCTGAAATGAGTTGGAGGAAAAGGATAGAGAAATTGAGGTCGATCCGTTGAGAGGGGAGGTGTTTGGTCACGTGTTCCACATGGATTTTGATGTCTCCAGGACGAAGGTGAGCTCCCCGGAGAAGAGATAGATGCTCCACTAGGAACCAGGTGGCCAAGGCTCGGTGAATGTGGAAATCAGCAACCAGGGTGAGTTAGGAACAGAGCCAGACAGAACCAGCCTCAAAGATTTAGTGGTCTGGAAACAGCAACCAGGCCTGAGGATCATCAGCCCCTATCAAGGAGGGCCACAGGGGAACCAGGTGTCCTGAGCAAAGACCAGGTGCCAGCAAAGGCCAGGGAGTGGAGGGCATGCCCTGGTTGAGGCTGAAGACACATAGGGGTTTGGTCCAGAGGGTGAGGAAGTGAAGAAGCGGCAGGCATGCCAGGGGTAAAGGCGTGGAGGCAGGAAGCTATGCAATTGTAGTTGGGGGGTAGAAAACAGTGAAGGATTCGGTCTGGCCAGCTCTCAGCAGCAGAGAAGCCTGGAAAAGTAGCCTGGGCATACCTGCAAGTCTCTGCCCTCAGAGTCGGGCCCAGTAGGATTTGAAAAACTTGATCACAATGACCCCTCTATTGAGCACCTGCCATGTGCCCGGTATTAACCTTTATCACCTGTAATGCTCCGAGGTAGATACTGTTATCCTCATTTTACTTACAGAGAAACTGAGGCTCAGAAAGATTCGGTAACTTGCTCAGGGTCTTGCCCTGCGCGAATCCCAGGTCTGTCTGTCTCTGGAGTCCATGCTCAATACACCATCTCCAACACCATGTATCTCCAATACATCAGCCATGCTCAGGATGAGAGAACCCTGCTCTGGGGACCGGAACCACAACAGAGCCTCTACCCTCCTTACTGGGAGAAGCCAGGAACCCACCGTGCTCAGAAGAAAGCCAGGTCCTGCCTCCTCACCCCAAGGGGTTTATGATTTGGGAGAAAGAGGGCTGTTGAAATGCAGGGAAGCCAGGGTCCATGTGTAAGTTGATATGGACACAGGAACAGTAGCTCAGAGCCAGCCAGGGGAAGGACAGCCAAGTCCAGGAATAGCTCTCAAGTTGCCATGGGGAGTGGAGTCCACCTCTCTCTCTTCGTCCAATCTCACACTTAACAGGCCCCCTCAGTCCCCCTCCTCTCCTGTCCCTGCAGAGATAGAACCAGCTCTAGCTACGGCCAGAGCAACAGGGTCCTTTGGTCTTCAGCCTTGTCACGATGGCCTGTTTACCCTCTGCAGTCCATGACCCATCATGACTGAGAGATGCCCCACAGCGAGATGTTTGTGTCAGAAACACCTGCTGATGGCGCAACAGCCAGGTGGGGCCAGTGATGTGGACTCTAACGCCACAAAATGTCCTGGGTACACTCTGAGTCAGCACAGTGATGGCATGCCAACAGAGATAAGAGTTTTGGTTATTTATTTGTTTGGGTTTTGTTTACATATATCCTTTTTCATCGCCAAAGATTTGAGGCTACTGGCAGTGAAAATTTAGATGATGATCATGATGATGGAAGGAGGAGACCCTTAGAACCAGTGAAAATAAAAATAATAGCAGAAAATCTGAGAACCTGACAAAGC